TCACCTGAGAATGGTCACAGTTTGTTGACTCAAGGGTGCTTCCTCAGGCTGGAAGAGTGTGGCCAGAAATAAATATGAATCTGACATCAATACTTCATTATCTCTCCATACATGCAAATAAACACAAAAGCAAAACATTAGAGAAAATATGAAAAAATGCAGTTCAGTAAACCTTGATAGACTTTTCTTGGAAAGTGACATAATTCACGGGGAAAAACAAAGCAAATAAATCACTGGTTTACAGAAGCAAAGGCAGATCACTAGAATGATTTCAAATAGACATTTCAAGTCATTGGAATTATTTCAAGTAGACATTTGAAAATTTAGCACAATCATATATTCAAATGGTTCTCTGATAACTAAGTTATATTCTTCTTTGTAAACAGCCTGTCAATGTTGACCTCTGATAATCTTTGTTCATTTACATCCCACATTATGTAACAAAACATTCTACTCCAACTCTAAATAATGTGTTTCTGTTCTTACGGCATCATTTTCCTTTTACTTTGACTTGGGACTAAGACTCTCGTGTTAGTACTTGCTGAATTTTATTTGCAAAGTGCAGTCAAATCTGACATGGCTACTCTCCCTTGATGAAATGATTGTAAATCATAAAGTAATAAATTAAAATGAACCCAACAAGGAGGAAGTATATCAAAGGGTTCTTTAGTACTTTTAAGAATTGCATAGTAGACTTACTTATAAGAACTTTGTTGGTAAAATAAGATCTAATGTGAATAAATTGTATAAAATCACATGAACCCAGTTCACTGAAATTCCCGTGTTCATTTTCTTATAATCTCTTCAATTATAGAAAGTTGATGTGCAGTGTGCCCATAAGTAGATTAGAGCAGGGTGAGAAAAAGAAACTAGATTCTTATCTTGCTCAATTTGCATTTACTGAGTTCACTGAATTTCACCTACATGTAGACTTCTCTTATTAAAACCTATCAGCTGATTTCCTATGAGAAAATAAAATGGTAAGCAAACCTGAAATGTTTAATTTTTTATTCACAAATGATACAAAGGAAGCACCAGTGTCCCCACCAACACTCTACCAGGACATAACAGAAAAACCTTCAAAAATCTGTGTGGAATTTTTTAAAATAAACTCTAAGAAATATAGTTGACACACTACTGGCAGCCCTAGTTTTGAGCTTGAAAACTGTATGAGCAAAAGAGAAAAAAAAATGGGGGGAGGTGTCTTTTTCTTTCTAGGCTTTGAGAGCCTACACTCAACAAAATCTTACAGGGATCCTTCTAAACTCTGCAAAGCTTTGTGATTAGATAGTGGCGTCCATTCTTCCACGATAGATATACGGACCCACTGGGCCACTGATGATGACCAGTTTGTCCACTGTGATCTTTTGGATTTTCCATGGGGGGCTGATCTCCAGTATAAAAACAGGCAGAGAAGAGATGTGTGTTGATTTTGTAGGAAATACAATGTGTTCTGCTTCCAGAATTCATCATTTTTCTGTGTACATTCCCCTCTGCACATTTCACTTTGCTTATTTGCTTAAATATCTCTCCCTATTTACAAAGATTCATTCTTTGTATTCGTAGATTTATGTCTGATCCATAGTAGGATGCAATGAAAGTTTGTTAAGTGAAAACATTTTGTTTCAATGGATCAAAACTTCTCTCATACTAATTCTTAGTCTCTATGTGTATATTATACATGTATTTTTTTAAATTAATGTAGTGTTACTTTATAATATTCCATAAGTTTCAGTTATACAACTTTATAGATCGCCAAAAGTCTAGTTTCCATCATCCATCATACCAGGAACCCCTTTAAAATAAAATCTTATCCTTTTTATAGTCCTTTCTCCACAATTCCTAATGTGCACAAGAAGATTTTAGCAACATTATAGTGGTGCAACCTTAGTTTAATCAACATCAAGGTTTAAACAATCATTCAGCAAAGTACTCCCTACTAGGACTCAGGTGATTCAAGTGTACATAATGCAAAAATCAATTCAGCAGGTCCTCCCTGGTGGCGCAAGGAGTTAATCACAGCACTCTGAAGCTATCCACAGTCACTGCAGCATGAGTTCCATCCCTAGCCAGGCTGCTGACAGACCTCGCCTGTCTCACCCGCTGCTCCGCTCAGCAGTGTATTTCAGTAGATCCACCTGACCTGCCTCCCGTTTTGTCTCTGGTGAATCCTCTCACCAAAACCCTGCACCTCTGGCCTATACCTATAGCTCTTGTATGCATAAATAAATAAATCTTTAAAGAAAAAAATAAATTCAGCATAGATTAGAAGTTTCCCCATTGAAATCATTAACCATATCCTGAGATGTTTTATCAAACTTGTCTCCAAGATATTTTAGAGTATAACCCTGGAATTTTTAGGGCAGGGAAACTGTTCTGCATGATATTATAAAGGGAATACAGGTCACTTCACATTTGTCAAAACCCATATGCACAGTACCCATAGAACATATAACATCAAGCATTAACTGCAATGTAAACTAAGGATTTTGGATGACAGTGATGAGTCGGTGACATTCATCATGGGTCATAACAAATGTAGCATGCGGATTTGGAAATTGATGGGAGTAGGGAGGCAAGAGGCAGCGTGGTTGAAACAGGTGGAGAGAGTATACGCAAACTTTGTAGTTTCTGTTCAATTCTGTTGTAAACCTAAAACTATTCTAAAAGTTTACTATTAAAAAATATATATATAACACTTTTTTAGTACAACATGAAGTATTCCTTTTCTTAAGATTTCAACTTTGTTATTTAAGCTTAATTTTTCGAAAGAAAAATACAAACAAGATATACTGGTGAGAATCACTGCTTCTCCCATAGGGCTTGTATCAAATCTTTTACAATTTCACCCAGAGCCATTGATTCAAGAAGTTACTATTTTGATGCTTTATTTTGTCAGAATGAATTTCTCAAAGAAGAACCATACAGTGACACCGAATACGACTGATAGGGAACTTTCATATCCTGTCCTGAGTTAGCCCTTGTGATAACGCCTCATCCACTTTGCCTGTATCCTGCACATCTGAGTTTTGCATGAACTAACAAGCAGCCTCTACATTAGTAGACCGCTGAAATAGCTTCAACAGCCAACTCTAATATAGTAAGTTCAGCTGGACACCGCCCCCCATCAGGATTTTAAATCTTTCTTTGGCTGTGAAAGCAATTGTAGTTGCTTATACATGTTTGAGCTGGAATGTCTAGATGAGGTAACAAAAGATTGGTGATTTAAAGAAATTGTCACCATATAAGAAAGATTTAAGAGAAAAATATTTATTTCTAACTCGGATCAATTTCCCAGTGTGGTGTCAAGAGGATATTGTTTCTGCAAACTATTTTTCCTATCCAGAGAGGGTTTAAGGAAACTGCTGCCTCCTTTCCCCTCCCATGTTCACGGGAGAGACTGACAAGTGTTTGCTAACATATTGATGGCTCAGATCTGCACTGATCAATTTAAGAAACATATTCAACATTAACCCATTTCCCAAAAATCACCTAGTGTCATGGCCTTTGTTACTGCCGCTGATGTGGTTCTTAGAATCACAGAATAGTTAGATGCTTGTAAGTATCCAAAAGAACTATTGTCACAGAAATTGTCAATATATTTATATAATAATAACAGTGGGCCATTAAAAGTAAATTTTAACTCATTTTTCTCTGACATAATTGACTTACAATTATCTAAAAGAATGAGTACTAAAGAAACAGGAGCAGCACTGAAGATTTTAATAGAAAGTGTGGCGTGAACCACAAAAATACACAAACAAATGTCTTATGTGATCTGTGTTTAAGCACATCAATTTCGTATGTATCTCTTTCAAAGTGGCCAGCTCATCTCATTGGTTTTAATTCTTACTGCACTGAGTCAAGTGGTTTTTGCTACATACAACATAGAATGTGTTCATGACCATGTAGTAAGTGAGATCTGTAATATTACAAATGTGAATCCTTCAAATGTTTTCAGCCTGAGCATATAACCAAGAGAGGAAAGTTAATAAATACTTTCTTCCTTTTTGTCAGCTTTACCTAATTAGAAACTTCTCTAAAAAAAAACTGTTTTTCATTTTCAGGTACAAAACCCAGAGGTTTGAGTTAAACTGGACAGTCTATTAGTAAGCATACTCCATATATTATGAGCTAATACTGCACTAACTCCTCTACCCTGACCAATTATTAGTCTTCTAATTCCTTAGGTTGTTTTACTTTTAATAATTAATCTTAATTAAAGCCATACTATAACTTTCCAGAGGCCCTGCAAAAATATGAAAGATCATCACCTAAGAAGTAGCCATTATTGGTCAGTTCAAAGACAGTTCAATTTTTTGAACCTTAAAATTTTTCTCTGAGAGCATCAGTTTATTTACAATGTCACACTTTTATAAATGTAAATAAACTATACATTTATTCACTTATAGATTTGTTTTAATTTTGCTTTATTTTTTTCTGTAAGCAATAGTCATCTTCTATACCACCGTAGAATTTCTAGCATACATCTGGAAGGGCACTATCAAGACTACTTGCCATTGAAATTGAAATAGGGGGTGAGAGTTAAAGTAGGAAAAAGTGAAAAGACCCTTTCAAATCTCTCCTATAGGGAATAATACAAATACACAAATAAACAAAAGCACTTGTTTACTTATACTGTTTCCTGAAAGCAACAATAACTAATATTTTGATGAGATGAATTTTATGACCAAGGAATAATAGGCAAAGCTGAAACATCTCATTGAAATAGGCAGTGTGCTTATGGAGAAACAACAAGAATGCCCTAGAACTTTCAGTCTGTGGTGTATGTGTCTGTTTAATGTTCTTTCTTTTTTTCTAATCAAGTGACCTGTTCTCATTTGGTTAGGTTGCAACCACAAGACATCACTGCATGCTTTTTTTTTTTTCAATACCCACGTCACCAAACACTAAGAAAGGGGGAACTTCCAGTGTCTGTGGTAACATCACTTGATAAACAGACTCCTTTGAACAGCCAGAGCCTGCTACCCCACACTATATAAAGCAGCAGAGACGGTGCCTGGCAGACACTTACTGTGTGAGGACTGAGCGAGCAGCAGCCTCTGCACCGGGGGAAGACATGCCAGGGATGTTCTTCTCTGCTCACCCAAAGGAACTGAAAGGAGCTGGTCACTCACTTCTAGACGACAAAGCACAAAAAAGGAGGCCTAAGACTTTGTAAGTTCACTCGGCGTCTCACTCTGCCACTCTGACATAGATAATCTTTAAAGGAAGAAGGATTAAGAATGAATGGAGGAAATAGGAGCACTTGACTAAGGCAGACTTAAGCAATTACCTGTTGTGAGTTATAGTAGAGAGAAGCATATTCAAAAGATGGATCATGAGAGGGAATTAAATGAGGTGGGACTTTATGAGATGTTTGCTCATAAAATTGGCTCTATCTTTCATATTACAAAATGCTGTCATTGCATTTTTTTTTATTTTCTTATTACTTGAGAAATTTATTTCATGCTCTTTTCTTTCTAGAAACAAAATGTGTTCTACTGAGAAAACATGAATGTTCAATTTTGTGTCTTTTGTAGCAGAATGGACATGAAAGCATACCTGAAATCTATGCTCCCACATCTGGAATCTGGAATGAAGCGTTCCAAGTCCAAAGACATGTACGTACACCCATCCTCTGAACTGCCGTTGCGAGCAGTCTATGTATTAGCTCTATGTTCTAGCTAAAGATTCATAATACTGCTCATAAGACTTCATTTCTCCTAAGGCACCAGCCAAATAAATTAGACTATACTAGTACCAATGTAAATTAAATACAAGGGCGTGTGTGCACATGTTTGATATCGGTCAATTGTTGAAACATATATCGATATAATTCAATTTGCTCATATTTTACTGGCACTTTCAGAAAGATAGCAAGTCTAAGGAAATTTTTCTCTTAAACTTTAATAAAAATTATTGCAACTAAAATCTTAGTTTATAGAGGGATGAATTGAAGCAACTGTTCTAATTCTGTTTGTGCTTATGGGAAAAAATTTTCACTAATTTATATAAATTTTCCCCCTATAGACTTTCTGCTGATGAAGTAATACAGTGGTCTCAATCTCTGGAAAAACTTCTTGCCAATCAAAGTAAGTATAGATTAATTATTGAATGTTTCTAGGTTCAGCTCAATATCCTAATACATTGAATGACTTAAGTAAAAAATCTGTAGCATTTCAGATAGGGAAGCTAGAAAGTTATACAGAAAGTTATATTCTTATTTTCCTATGACCATGGTAGTTTCAGATATTATTCTTCATTAAAGTATCATATTTGAGAAGTCCTCAGGTCTCCTACTGTCTTTTGACAAATCTATCAAGCTAACTAGGTGTCTCCATGGATCATTACAAGGTTTAAAATTATGTTTGGTTCTGAAGTTTAAAGTTTTTAAAAGCAAAGCATCACTATATGAACTACCATTCTGAACAGACCTATGGAATACATTTTTGGCTGTTGAGTAGAAGGAGTTGAATTTATTAAGTCAATTCATTACTTTTGCACTTGTGCATTAATGAGCCCACTCATTCAGCCTGCTCTTATGTGGCAGACATGAAGAGGCAATAAGGATTCACAAACTGACAGTGTCTCAGCCTTGAAGGCCGTGGACACGTGTATAATTTACTATGTAAAGTAAGATGCCTGTTATAGCATAGATGCAATGAAAGGAATTTTTAAATGCATTGTGGGGGAAGTGATTAATGAGAATAAATAAAGAACAAAAAGCAGCCTGCCCTGTTCATGATGGGCACTGTGACTCTGCTGGGAAAGGACCTTGTTCACCTTGGTCTCTACCAGAGGGGGATCTTATCCTCTTCTCCCCACATGCACCCTAATGAGTCTTGTCTGCGGATCAAGTTGTTCAAGATAGTTCACCATCTTATTATCCATCTTAATTTTGGCTTCAGCTAAACAAAGGGGTAGAGATGTCCCATCAGAAAGCCTTCATGACACTTGTAAGTAAAACTTGTACACAGGGCAGAGAGGTGACACAAAGGCCACATTCACTGGTCATTCTGACCAAGATGAATTGGGTAGGAAAAATATATTTTTGAACGATACACAGGATGTCAATGGCCTTTGTCAATGTTTGCTTCACTATAGAGTATGAGTACTCTATACTCATACTAAAAGTTGGTAGATGTAAGTAAAGAGATGGTCCTGTAATCAATGAAGTACCCTCTCCATGTGTATTGACTACTTTTAATGCCTGTAGCATCTTATGTGACTTGCCCATTTCTACCAACTATGATACAGCTATTCTAGCACAAGCTTTCCCTTTTACACAGAGAATGCAATAGTATTTTTCTTGCAAATTTCTTCTTCAACTTAATCATTAATTTTCTCACCCTTTATCTTTTTTTAGTCGGCCAAGATGTCTTTGGAAGTTTCCTAAAGTCTGAGTTCAGTGAGGAGAATATTGAATTCTGGTTGGCATGCGAAGACTACAAAAAAACAGAGTCTGATCTTTTGCATTATAAAGCAGAGAAGATATATAAAGCATTTGTACATTCAGATGCTGCTAAGCAAGTAAGTAATAAATTCATTTTCATCAATTTACTTTTAAAAGAACTTAGACTTTTCGCTCCCCCCCCAAAAAAAAAGTTATGATTTCACTGTTAGCTATCAAGGTATATTCATACAGTTCACTGCAACAATTATCTTATGTTCTAGATTTGTGAATATTTCAACACAATAGGCTAAAAAAGATTGATCTTGCAAAACTACCTAACTTGACAGGAGTGGAAGGAGTATTTGCCCAGAATTGCATGTCAGGCACCCAGAATTTGCCCAGGACTGCGTGTCAGATAGTGTTATGCACGATCTCATCTGGGATTAGCATAAAATACAGATTAATTTAATGCCTACAAGTTCAATGAAAAAAAAATATTTTCAGTTAATAGTAGTGCTCCAGTTTATTAATAAACCTTCCAGTTTATTATTCTTGGTCTAAGAAGACAATAGTTGCACAAAGTTCCTTCTCTGCCTGTCAATTCCAAGTGTCCTTGTGACTTCTGATGCATGTATCACCTTTTGTGGACATTTAAATTTTCATGTCTGCTCGTTCACACCACCCCCACACCCTCACTTAACTTTTCTCCACACCTAGAACAGAGATGGTTGGAAACAGACATCCAAGACATATTTGAACTGAATTAAGTGAATGCATAAAATCACTATTTGAGGTGTTTCAAAAAAGACAGTAACATCATAATTTTTGTGATAAATTGAAAGTGTTGGTTAACTAACAAAAATTTCTTTTTAGATCAATATTGACTTTCGCACTCGAGAAGCTACTGCAAAGAAGGTCAAGGCCCCAACTCTCACCTGTTTTGATGAAGCCCAAAAGATCATATATACTCTCATGGAAAAGGACTCTTACCCCAGATTCCTCAAATCAGACATGTACTCCAACCTTCTGAATGACCTTCAGGCTAACAGTCTAAAGTGACAGGTCTGTGGATGCTAGAATTAAAAATGGCATCAAGAACAAGAAGAACATGCCAGTTGGCTCCTTGGATGAACAAGGTGGCCTTTCTGGGTGACTGGCTGGACCCTGGGGTAAAACAAATGACTGAGAATGGGTAATGTGGATGTGATCCAGGCACAGAACTGACAAGGCATAAGCAAGATGAAAATTAAGAGGCAGCAGACAGAAGAAGGAACTGTGGGACTATGAGAAATAAAATGTGGGCCTAGGAAATCCCTCAGAACTGAGAAATCCAAGTTACACAGAAGCTGTGAACAAAGACTTTGCAACTGACTGAACAAGCTGTGAGCTTTAAGATGAACTGGCATGCAGGTCACTTCATACATATCTACCGAGCTGCTAAAATCTAACTATTTGAAAAGTATGTGTTTCAAAACACCTTTTTTTTTCCATTGTTGTTACTGATACTGTTTTTGCTTGTTTGATTGTTTTTTTACTTGAAAGAGATAAACAAGAGAACAGTGTATTTAACTTAAGCTACTGCTCTGCAAACTGGGACTCCGAATATAACTAAGTTAAATTATCACAGGGTTAATAATAAATGTCAGTTTTGTCTTATATAGAAGCAATTTCTGTTTACAATTGCCAATTTTAAACATTGCATTTGTTTCTCAGATTCAACAAACATTGCAGCAAAAATCTTCTACTTTCCATCATCTCTTCAACATCTAAAGTTGTCACCAGTTGCTAATATATTTTATGTGTGTATTGGACAAAACACACTATTTCCCTTTGTCATCACAAGGCAAAAAATAAGCAAAGCAAATGTAATATCCTCTCATAGAGTCAAGCCTCAAACTGATGAGATGTTGAAGAAATCATTTAAAAAAGGGTGGAAACGTTATTTCTTTTTAAAGATTTCTTTATTTATGCATGCAGAACTGGGGTACAGGCCAGAGGTGCAGGGGCAGTTCACCAGAGATAGATGGGAAGCAAGACAGGCAGATTGATGAAGTACACTGCTGAGGGGAGCAGCAGGCAGGTCAGGAGAGGTCAGGAGAGATCTGCCACGCCATATAGATCATCTCCAGGGCCTGGGGTCGAACATAGACTAAAGAGGCTGTGGCGAGCTTGCAGTGCTGCGTCTTTACACGTTGCACCACCAGGGAGGGCCCAGCAACGTTATTTCATGACGTAACATAATTAATAACTGATTTTATTGTGTCTGAACATTTATAAAAACTCCTCATTTGATGTTCATAGAAATCCTATGAAAAATGAGACCCAAAAAGATTAAAAGACCAGTTTTGATATTTAGCTGTTAAAATTACCTAGAATATTGAAAACAAAACAAAACATCCATCTCAGGGGCCCTATCCCAGACTGATTGAATCAGAATTTTTCAGGTCATCTAAAGATGCTTTAATAAGGCCCTCCCTGGTGGCGCAGCGGGTTAAAGCACTGCACTGAGAAACTAAAGCCACTTCCGCATGAGTTCGATCCCCGCCTGCCCCGGAGGT